CAGGGGGGTCGTGATGAATAATAATTAAAAAAAACCTCAGAGAGCTGTTCATGTTTTAGCCCCATTTTTCACAGAGGCTTTTTTAATTGTATTGATGATAGCAAAGTTGAATATTTTTACAAATAAAAAGAGAAATATGTCTGAAATAACACTGACAGCAAAGGATACTCTTCTACAAAAAAAACAAACAAAAAAAACAACACACAGTTACACAAAACTGTTTCACTGTGAAGATAGTTTGTAGTTTGCTTTGTTGCAACCTGAAGTGTGAAATAAACTTCAGTGGAGTTTGAAAACAAAATATGGGTATAGGTTTATGTCTGGTTGATTTTTTTTTCTTCTTTTTTGGGTAGGATTTCATTGTAATCCATAGGGGAGCCCAGAAGAAAATCTTTGAGAACAACTGAGGTAAAATATCCAGATGATAATAATGCTCAGTTTTGCATTTTTTCCTCCAGATGCTCCAGAGTTTCTCTCTGCTAAACTGATCTCCTCTGGTCAGATAACTGAGGGGCAATCAGTGACTCTGAGCTGTAGCAGTGGTGCTAACCCAGCAGCTAACTACACCTGGAGGAAGAACAACAACCAATCAGTTGTCAGTAAAGACCAACAGTTTGTCCTCAGCTCCATCCTGTCCTCAGACTCTGGACAGTATTACTGCACAGCTCAGAACGAGCTGGGAGAGAAAACGTCTGGACCCGTCTCTGTCCAGGTCACATGTGAGTCAAACTGGTTTCATTACAAACATACTAGTGTTTTACTGAGACACCAGGAAATTAACTCTGATAGATTTGATTTTCTTTCCCCTTAAAAGATTAATATCTTAAAAGATTTATATCTTCACATCTTTCTCTCGGTTTACCTTTGACCTTTCTGTCCTGTCCTCCAGATGCTCCCAGGCCTCCCTCTGTGTCAGTGACTCCCTCTGATGACATCATGGAGGGCAGCCTGGTGACTCTGACCTGCAGCAGTGATGCTAACCCAGAAGCTAACTATACCTGGTACAAGGAGGGAGAGGAGGCACCAAAAGCTTCAGGACGAAACTTCACCATCACTAACATCATGTTCAAGCAGAGAGGAAATTATAGCTGTGAAGCTCAGAACAGCAGAGGGCGCTATAACTCCACTGTGACTGTGAACGTTGTGGCAAGTAAGGAAATGAAGGAACATATTCATGGCAACTATAACATAAAAAAAAAATGTCTCACCAGAAATAGAAATGTCTTCTTTGTTCTGATAAATTAGGTCAATCAATGTCAACAACGATCATCATCAGGCTGACTCTGTTCATCGTGATCTTTCTGCTTGTCCTGATTATTTCTTTAAGGTAAATCAATGAGAAATTCCATCATGTTTTCCTTATATTCTGCATTTTGACACATATTTGCATTGTCTTTTATCCAGAACACTGAAAACTATGAAAATGAACAGAAAAGTAATTGAACCAATAGAAATGGAGGAGAGAAGGACTAGAGAGATCACATAGTGAGTATTCATTGATCTGAACTTCACCAATCAGCCCAGGATTACATGATGACATGTTTCTGTTTTTGGTCCATTGTTGTTAATCAATTACTGTAAATGCATAATTAGGGAAAAAAATAGAAGATTTAAAAAATATGAATGTACAGTGCTTTATTTCACTAAAATAAAATGTAGAAAAAAATGCAACACAAAAACAATAAAAAAAACAAAATCAACACAGATACAGTTTGTACATATTGAGTCTCTGAGTTATAAAGACTTCAAATAGTGAGAACAATTGTAAGCTGTTATGAAATGTTAAGAATCAAGCCAATACCAGCTTGTGCTGCTTATAGAAGCTGAAAGGTCAGAGGTCAGCCCTCTGTCATTCAGACTCCTTGGATGCAGCTGCTTCAGTTCACATCCAGCAGAGGCCACAGAGAGGATTCACCTGGCACCAGTCAAGGTCAACCATGGAGGAGTCATGAACCCAGTTGACCACGACCCGTAACCAAGGAGACGGTTGGAGTGAAACCAGAAGGAGCAGAGAGGAAGTCCATATAAGGTTATAACAGAGGGAGCATCAACACCTCCTCCTTCCTGCAGAGACTGAACTCTTCTATGTTATTTTAATATATTCATATGTAATCCCTCATTATGTGTTGGTCATGTTTATCTGTGAATATAAAAGCTTAGAACGTTGATAAAAATATGGTTTTGTTGGTGTTGCTGGAATAAGAGTTTGTTGAAAGTGTTGCTGTTTTTTATCTGCTTTTTGCTTTTAATAAATCTTCATTTTTATTTTCATAATCAAACTCGTATATCTGGGAGTTTTTGTTTGGTAAATGTCCTTAAATGTATAATAAAAGTTTTTGATTCCTGACTTACAATCTCTGCACACAATGCAGCAAATCACTTTTTTCTCTAGAAGCCTCTTATAGCCTTCAAATTCAACATTAGGCACCAGAAATAAGTATAACAGCCCTGCATATAACTCACCATTCACATGCCTGCTGACGAGGCAGTGTGTCTGTAGACCAGCAGGGCGGAGCAACTGAGCTGCCCAACTTTCTCCAGGTGATGTTTTAACACAAAAAGTTGAAGTAAAAGGAAATCTGCTATGAATGAAATGCCAGCTGAATATGAACGACAGCAAACTGACTCTGGACCGGATCCGATCTGAATGTACGTTCACTTCATAACAGATCCATGAAACGGACCCGGATCGGGGTCCAGCTGCACAGCAGCTCAGTGACACCCGCATAAAACATCCAAGAAGCAGAAACCTGAGTTCACCCTGACAGAGTTCACGCCCCGTTCACCTCTCTCTCCAATCCGCTCCAATCTCATCCCATAGTTTCTCTGAAGCATTTCACTGGAATTGATCAACTTTTATTGATCGTCCTGTTCTGTTTCTCTTCATGTGTCTTCACCTGGACCGGAGCTGGTATGTGACCCAACTGCTTGACTTTGTTTCTTCTTCCATGTTTCCATAAAGTTGCTTTGTTTTGTTGCAGGTAATCAGGCGCCGTCTGTCTCTGTTCTGTGTTTAACAGAAACTAGTTCTGCTAATATTTGTTTTATGTATCACAGGAACTTTGGGTTTGGTTAGTTTTTATTAAGCAACCGGAGAAATGGGTCTGCTGCTCCAGCTGGCTGCAGGGAAGCTGCTGTTATTTTTATTTATTTATTTATTTATTTAAATCAAGCTGTTTGTGCTCTGCCCTTCTTGCCTTGGCACGGCGTGGCAGGAAAGAACTGTTCAGGCATGCTTTTTGCAGCAGGCCATCTTAACATAAAATCAGCATCATCACGCTC